GGAAAGAGGAATTTATTGCTTGTCTGAATTTACTGCTTGAATTTACTTTTTTGAATTTACTGCTTGTAACTGATTAACCCAAGTGGAGACACAGGCATCCCCAGATAGGGGCAAGTGCTGCACCCCCCAGAGCCTAGCCTGTTTGATCTGTGTTGTGTCATGTAGGCATGTCCACTTACCCAAGATAACAGGAAAGGGTTGCGCCAGGTACATACCACTCACCCTTCCCTGATTGAGACACCTGAAGGAAGTTGTGACATTTTTCTTGTTTTGAAGTTTTTGGTTTGTGAAATGCTTGCTTTGAAACTATTGGTTGTATAAATGCGGGCTTTTGTGTAACGGTTGTGGGAGCCTATATAATCTTTACCTGAAATTGCCTCAGGGTCGATCACTCTAACCAGACCTGAGTGTCTTGGAAGGACGGTCGGCCCCAGCTAGCTGGTTTAATAAAACTCTGCTTGATTTTTGCATCTCCATACTCGTGCATTTGTTCTCCTGAACAGACCCACTGAGTCATGGACCCTAACAGTATAAGGAATAATTATCAGAAAAAAGTCTGTACATGTAAAGTACAGATGTAACCATTAACCTAACTACATAGCATTTGACCACTACTTGGTTGAAATCACATATTCTACTTACATACTGAAAGAAAAATGTCAAGCGTCCGATCTATCAGGGCATATTATATGTAGCACATTTTCCAAAGATTTTTTTATTTCATTAACCTACTAAAATAGAGAACCATAAATTCATAATTCATAAGGTTGGAAACTGTCCCATCCCACCTACTCCTCATACACATCCTAAGCTAGTGATAACGGCGACGGCTCATCTTCTGACCCAACATGATGGTTTCTTTTGGGTGTGGTACTCCGCCCTTCTCCAAAGTCCAAGCTCACAGGAGCTCCAGACAAGGCATCCTCTTCCACCTTCAAATTCCACTGAATAGCTATCCTTTGTGTTTCCAATGAGGTGTGAGCGTGGAAACAGCATTACCAGACTCTTTGTGAGTCTGCACAGAAACAGCTTACAGACTCACAGCAGGAAGCTTAAACAAACCAGCAGCTTTGATGGTCTGAGTTCTCTCCAGTGTGGGCATCTATTTTACACAGACCACTTGAATACAACACATGTGGCTGCAATACTGGCTTAATAAAAACATGGACTCACCACAGTGGTGCATGTCTATAATCTGAACACTTGGGAGCCTGAGACAGCCTGGGCTACAGCAGGCCGCTTCAAAAGAGAAAACCCGAAACCAACCACAAAACAAGATACACACTGAAGTCTACGTCCATATGTCCGTTGTGCTATTTTTAACACATTGCAAAGAACTGAGATGAAGAGGCAGGAGGATCTCTGTGAGATGGATGCAAGCCAGGTCTACATAGCAAGTTCTAGGCCAGCTGGATCTACAGGGAGACCCTGTCTCAAAAAAATAAAAATAATAAAAATAAACTTAGATGACCTATCACTTTGTTCACTAACCCTGTGTTTAGATATTATCACTTAGAAATATTTTAATTAACAAACATCTTTCCTAAAATGCGAACAATTCAGCCAGCAGCAGTGGCAGATGCCTTTAATTTGAGCACTCTGGAGGCAGGGGCAGGAGGATCTCTGTGAAAGCAAGGCCAGCCTGGTCTACATGGTGAGTTCCAGGTTAGCTGGGGCTACAAGAAGACCCTGTCTCAAAAAAAAAAAAAAATTCAAAGATTCTTTACTCTCACCTCTACATAAATTAAGTGACCTACCACAGCAGAAACAAAATTGCAGCCATTTAATTTCTTCTAAGGTTTTGGTGGCCAGTATGCTAATGAAAAGGGTCACACATTTCTCCCTTTAATATCCTCAGCTCATTAGGATGGCTTTATTACTAACTGACCAATTATTTTAACTGAGTCTAACTGAGGGCAGCGTCTCTGGGTAAGTTGTGTCCTCCGATCATTTCTGTCCTTTCATGTGGGTATGGAGTATCTTCAGACAACCCCAGTTCCAGATCATTTATGGAGATGTCCCATTCTTTCCCCCAGACCAGGTGACGGCCAGCAGAACCCATTACTACTTTTCCTGGTCCCTTCAAATATTTGTTGACCACACACTCACTGACTTCTGAAAATACAAATCCCAGCCTACACTCCATCAAAGACTGTAATTTTCTGCAGTCCCTGACGCACCTTTTCACTGCTGCTGACTCCATCAAAAAGTCAAGGCTAGGACTAGAGATGTCCATAGCTCAGCAGTACACCCATGAGCACACATGAATAATTACACATAAACACACAAGGACACACAAACTAAAACTAGTACTACATACTAAGAAAGAAGTACCACATGATTTCACACACTTAGGCCACATAAAAATATTTTACTATGAGCTATCCACAGTTGTAAAATTCAGGTATTTGCGACTTGTCTATACCACGCCTATCTATTTATGTAATAAAATACTTTGACAAAAAGATCTTTACAGTTTTTAATATAAACACAAGAATACACGCAACGATTTCTTAAAAAATTAAAATCACTCACTTCCTCCTCCCATCGTCTGGCCCCCTCAGGCTGTGCCTATGGCCTCCAGCATCACGCGGCGGCCTCCCACTCTTCTCAGACCCAGCTCCGACTCCGGTGGCAAATCCGCCCGCCCTCCACGCTGGCTCCAGCTGGGACCCCAGGTTCTGTGGAGGCTGTCGGCGCAGGTTCCGGGCGCTGCGGGATGCCCACGGAGCCCTAGGAGGGCAAGTCCCACAACTTCTGAGCTCAGGCGAGAAGCGCCCGCGCTTCCAGCCCGGGGCCCTGTGACCACTGGACGGACGCCCGCTGCCCTCAGCATCACCACAGGTCCAGTGCCCGGATACTGTCTCCACCCGGGAGCACAGTCTCCACCCCGGGAGCATCTCCAGCTGAGAATGCGGGCCCTGCCCTCGGTACGCCGCCAGGAACGCTGGCACATGGCCGGCTCCAGAAAAGGTACACTTGTTTGTTTCGGACTGAACTCTGTCTCTAACAAAATATCTTCACAGCGTGTACCAACAGAAGTAACACAGTGGTTTGCAGAATGAAATCTCACCTGGTCTCTTCCAACACCGGCCTGGCTCCTCGCAGCCTCCTGGCTGTGCCCTAAGTGTCACAGCGTCCACCCGAGCTTCTCCAGCCCAGCTCTGACCGCCCGCACAGTCCCATGGTGAGGCGGGATCCAGGCAGGACCACCCAGCAGGTTCAGCCCATGGCGTCCTGGAGTCTGCGTTCCAAGGCGGTTTGTGCCGAGGCCAGAAGGACCCAGGGCTCCAGCCCCGGCGTCCCTGGCCACCCGACCCCACAACCCGCAGTCCAGAGTCTGCTGAAGTCCAGAGTGTGCAGACCGGATCCACCCAGGGTGAATTGAGGGGAAAGCTGGATCCGGCTTCCGCACGCCCGCCCGGCCCACGGCACTGGAGCGGGTCCTGAGCTCAAGTCCCGGGAGCTCCAGGACTCGTGGGCAGAGCTGCTAGAGCGCTTGCGGGTCCCGCAGGGCTGTGCGTCTGAGGCAGGGCTGCGCCTGGATGGATTCGGATGAAGCTGGAAAGGAGGCGCGTTGGGGACGGGAATCTGGGCTGCGGAGCTGGGGGAGGATCTAATGTGTGGACTTGACTGAGTGCCAAAAGCAGAAAAACGGGTCGGGCTTGTGATCTAGTAACCAATAAACAGAAGCTTCTACACCGAAGGGAGGCCTGCAAGGGGCGGGGCCACTGGTGGGGCGTATGACGTATGGGGCGGGGCCCAGAGCTGGGTATTAGGCCCCCCCCGCCGGTGAGGAGCTGGTGACTGGTTGGGCCGAATGCTGGGGGCGTGGCCACAGGCGAAGGGCGGGTCTGCAGTGTTGGGGCGGAGTAAATGGCTAGGGGCGGTGCAGGTCTGAGGGGGGAGGAGCCTCAGTGCAACGGGAGCTGATAGGCTCTCCTTCATTTTCTCTGATGCTTATTTATCTATGTGGAGTATCAGACACCTTTTAAATTACATTATGAAAATAAAGCAACAAATTACTAGGCAAACTCATAAGAACTCACCAGGGACTTGTTCATTTATGGCTCTTCTGGGAGAGAATGAGAGATCTGAAAAAACAAATGGGCAGAGGGACAGATGAGAACAGGAAGTATGCTAATGTCACACACAGAAAATTAGATCATTTGGTGCATGTGTACCTCAGACCCAAAAGGGTATCTCTAGAACTACATCATTAATTTTTTATATTTTTTTTATTTTTTAGCCAAGAAGAAATTCATTACAGCTTTAACATATTCAATAACAATTTCCAGAGCAAAGATACATCTCTTTCAAAAGTGGCTATAAAATTTTTAGGTTCACAGTTGAATTAATTTGTTTTTATTTCTTATGTGTATGAGTGTTTTGCCTGTAGGTATGTAAATGCACCCATATCATACAATGCCTGCAGAGCCCAGAAGAGGGCATCGGATCATCTGGAACTGGAGTTAAGGACCGTTGTTATCCACCATGTGGGTGCTGGGAACTCAATCTGGGACCTCTGCAAGAGCAGCCAATGCTTTTAACTGCTGAGCCATCTCTCCAGCACCCTAGAACTACATCATAAAAAAAAAAATAAAAAATCCCATATTGCACAAGAGTTTAGCAGTTTTACCATAACATGGTCAACGGCTTAAACAATTTAAAGCACCTCCAAAAGCCATAATGTTACATGAAATAAATCTGTATCTGGGAGTAAGAATTCCCATCCACAATCCTAGCACTTGGGAGGCAAAGGCAGGAAGGTCACTGCACATCTGAGGTCAGTCTGGTCTACACAGTGAGTTCCCAAGCCAGCCAGAGCTACACAGCAGAATCTTGTCTCAAAAAATAAAGGCCAGGCATGGTGGTGCATACCTTTAATTCCAACACTCTGTAGGCAGAAGCAGGTGGACCTCTGTGAGTTAAAGCCACCTTGGTCTACATACACCCTATCTTTAAATAAATAAATAAATAAATAAATAAATAAATAAATAAATAAATAAATAAATAAATGCTAAAATCTATAGAAAAACATGTTTTAAAAATGCCAAGTAAAATAAGAAATATGTACCGAAAGTAGGAATCCACTTTCATTTTACTGTGTTTCCCTGGTGTTCAATCTGACAGAAGAGTATCTAGTTTTGTCACTTCTTTAAGGCTTTATTTCCTTTTAAATGTTCCCTGTTACATAAAATTTACATTGTATTTGCATGTTGTTCTATTAGTTCTATTAATCTGTTTAGTGTCAATGTAATTCTCAGGTCCAAAAAGAAAAACAAACAAACCCTAAGAGAAAAGAGGTAAATTGTTGCCTCACTTATATAACTTGTTGCTGAACAATCTGAAAGGTGCAGATATTTCACAGGCCTGTAGGCCTGAATATATCACATAAATCTTCTGAAATCATCATTATGCCTCAGCATGTTAATAGCAATTCCATAATATTATTTTAATACTCAATTCATTTTCAAAATTCCCCTATTCTCCCCAAACACATGTGTTTTGTTTGGAATCAAGTTCCTGATATACTAAAAAGAACAGAGGAGGTAGGGGTGCCCACTCTTAACTCAGCCAACTGATAATTTAGTTATTTCTGTACTTAGTTATAGCAACCCAACCCATACTACAAATGGGGCACATAGACACCTTTAGACCAAGAGAAAAAAGGAGGGTGAGGATCTCCAGGTGGGACAGCCTAAACCCAAATAAAAACCCCAAACCCTCTTAGAAGTCAGTAGTCTCCCCAGCTCTGGGGCCCCTCTATACCGAGAAGTCTAACACTTGCCAACACACCTCACTTTCACTTCACACTGAGTTGCTTTCATGTATATAATATGTATATATATATGTGTGTGTGTGTGTGTGTGTGTGTGTGTGTTTGTAGTTTTGTTTTGTTTTTTGAAGACAGGGTCTCCCTGTAGCCCCAGCTAGCCTCAAAGAGCTGCTGGCCTCTGCCTCCCAAGTGCTGGGATTAAAGGCGTGTGCCACCGGAGAGCAAAATAAGGTAAATGGAAATTTACATGCAATCCCAATGGCAAAATTCTTTTAAAAAATTATATATTGTTTACTTTTAAAAGATTATTTTTATCATTTTAATTATGGCTATATGTGTGTGACGGTGTGTGGATATGCCCTCTGGAGCCCTAAGGTGTCAGATCTCCTGGAACTGGAGTTACAAGGGGTTGTGAGTTACTGGACATGGGTGCTGGGAACTGAACTCAGGTCCTCTGGAAGAACAGGAAGCTCTCTTAACTAATGAGCTATTTCTCCAGCCCTTAATTAATTAATCCCTGCCCATTGGCCCTCTCCTATAGCCCCTCCCACTGGAATTCATGCATTTTGTCATTTGTATTAACGACTATCCTGTCAAGTTAGTGTCCCCAGATTTCCTTCAGTGAAAATTCATCCACTGAGGGTTAGTCAGTCTATCTAGAATCCCTCCCTTTAAGAAGATAAGAAGATTAATTAATTTGTGTCCACACAAATGTGCACATGCCAGGTCAGAGGACAACTTGAAATCAGTTCTCTCCTTCTACCATACGGGTCCTGGGGTTCAAACTCAGGTTGACAGATTTGCACGGCAAGCATTTTTACTTGCTGAGCCAGCTTACTGGCTCCTATTTTATTTTTTAAGCTCTATAATTCCCATTTGGTTATTTAAAAAACTAACTTTAGATTGCCAGGTGAGGTGGCACATGCCTTTAATCCCAGCACTCCGGAGGCAGAGGCAGGCGGATCTCTGTGAGTTCAAGGCCAGCCTGGTCTACATTGTGAGTCCAGGACAGCTGGGGCTACAGGGAGACCCTGTCTCAAAAACAAAACAAAACAAAACAAAAACAAAAAAAAAAACAAAAAACTAACTTTAGGTGAAATGTTTTTTTTTTTTCCTCATTTTTTAAATTTCTTGGGTTTTTTTGTGTGTATATCACATAGAACATCACAAATAATTTTATTCGTCTATACACCCACTTCCCAGGTGGCACCCTCCCATAGCCTCCCCCTCCACTAGAGCTCTTTTACTCTGTCTTTCCTGCTACTGTCTACTGTGTTGTCGGCACTCCCAGCCATTCCCCACTACTTGTCCATCTGGTGAATCTGGTCAGCCTATCTAGAGGTCTTTGTTTTAGGAAGGTCAGCTGTTCCTCATCTAGCAGCAATCAGTTGTCAATATTCCTTTAGATAAGATTGGGGTCTGTTGTTCATTTTCCCAGTTTTATGCTGGGTTACTATCTGGGAGTCCCTTTGGCCACCCTGGCCAACAACTCAAAAGAAGATATCTCCTATCTGGCATTGTTGCTTGTTATGTAGCCTTTAGCTAAACATGTGGACTCTAAAAAAAATTATATTGGCCCCTTCAATCTTTAGTTATACTTTCCTTTTTGGGCGTTTAAGGCCATACAGTTGGCCCAGATAAATAAATTTATTTTTACTCTTCAGGCCATTTGAGGATCTGTTCCTCAGGGGTCACATGGGCTTGGGAGGACCCCCCTGGCTCTTTTCTTTTACCAATTCTGCCTATGTGAAGATAAGTCAAAGGTCCTGTCCTAGTTTGTTTCTCCATTGCTGTGACAAAACACTCTGACCAATACCAACTTGGGGAGGAAAGTGTTTATTCAGTTTACATCTCCCAGGTCGCAGTTCATCAGGGAGCCCAAGGTAGGAACTCAGGGCAGGAACATGGAAGCAGGAGCTGGAGCACAGGCCATGGAGGAATGCTGCTTACTGGCTTGCTCCCCTGGCCTCTGCTCAACCTGCTTTCTTATTCAATACAGGCCCACCTGCCCAGGGGTGGCACCACCCACAATGCCCTGGGTCCTCCCACATCACACAGCAATCAAGAAGATGGCTCACAGACATGAACACAGGCCAGTCCAATGAAGGCAATTCCCCAATTGAGACTCCCTCAACCCAGGTGTGTCAAGTTGACACTAAAGCTATCCTGCACAGGTCCTGCTCAACCATGGCTGGCTTCACTTGGAAGCATGGAGGAAATGATGTCTCTGTGTTGACCATCCTCTTTGTAGACTGCACAGTGATTCAACTCCATCTTGTGGGGTCTCCATGGCTTCCATGATCAAGAGGACAAGTGACTTACCACAATTACAGGACATTTTGAGAGATGCTCATAGTCCCCTGGAACTAGTCAACCTAGGAGGGCAAGGAGCAAAAACTGTCCTTTATGTCCCTCTGACCAAATTAGTATAGGCCTCAAAGTATGTCTGTTAAACATCCAAGAAGGTTAGTTCTACCAGTCTGGTACTTTTAATTACTGTGTTTCATGTAGATAAAGGTTGGACAAAGACCAATTGTTCTCAGATAAACCTTGCCTAGACATATATTTCTTGATCTGGTATGTATAATTTGTCAGTATGTTGTTGGACTAATATGGTTCCCTCTGGTTTTTAAAACTAGCTAGGCATTGTTTATCTTTCTCATTGTCTAATCCTTTCATCATGGTTTCTCCAATTAAGGTGCCCCCATTTTTCCCATTTCTCCCTTAATAATACCCTTCTCTTATGGTCCTACATCGCTTGAGTTCCTTCTTTCCCTTTATCCCCTAGGTTCCTTGTATAACCTTCCCACCCCCTCCATTAAACTAACCCAATTTTTATCCATATCTCCCGTATTAATACCTGCTTCCTACTGTTCTTCTCTTTCAGATTCTTTCTTTTCCTTCACCTCCCTGGTTCGTTTT